TTTTTACCTTTGTATGGTAGTGGGGTTGGGAGACGTCAGCAAAAACTAAGGGAGGAGGGAATAGAGAGGGGGAGAAAGTGAGTGGTACTGCTCCACCTTATGCTTCGTGTAGCCTTTCACGTGCTCCGTGACAACTCTTCCATTGCCAATCATCTCAGTTCTTGCCAATAGCAATGAATAATTGGATGGGAAATAGAAGTAAGCTGAAAACAAATATGGCTATTTTTGTCCTATTTCTTCTCTTCGGGAGACAGAGACAAGATATCTTGCAAAGGCCCACTTCTCAGTTAGCTGGTTTCTCGATAGGTAAAGAATGTGTATTGTGCAATACAGATGGTTTTATCAAATAGAAGAGTATATTAGGAACCTTCCTACAGACAATTACTTTTATAAACGGAGCACCCGGCTATTCGCTTATTCACGGTTTTTTTTTTGAATGACCACACAATACAAGCCAGATTAAATGGTCTACTATTTCTTCTTAAGTAGCATTTGTAACTCCAGCTATCATCAGACTCGGCGTCAAATTTGCCGAACCTTAGTAGCTTTATGGCAAAGGCTATTAGCTTAGAGACACCAATCACCTGTTTGTCTAAACAATCCCATTCCAAGGGATGCAATTCAAGGTGCCACTTCATCAGTTTAACCGCCTTCCTCGCCATTCGCATAACCGTAGTTTTTTATCAATGAATTCGTGGTTTATAAAACCACTTTTCTTCATCAGTTTGCACCCAAAACTACCAAACCATTATGCTGTGTTATAACTAGGGGCTACCACCGTTCAATTTAGCGTTGATGACATTAATTTTGGGTATTTTACATTCCACCCACTTTAGGTGTCAGCTACTGGCATTGTAAACAGGCTAAATTTCAGTATTTTCATTTACACGAAGCCGAATTGAACTGTAAATGCCGGACATTGATATAAACAACCAAAGTGGTTGGATAAAATGTTTTCCAGAAGTTGACGTTAGTGAATCACTGAATCGGTGGTAGCTCGGTAGGTGAACACCAAATTCTATGATTCGAATTAACCACTGCGGTGGTACCTTCTGTTCTACCCGCATGATTAATTAATAGATTGCCCACTTCTCCAGATCCATTAATAATGCAAAAGAAGTTTAGAATATCGGCCGATTGAGAGTTAGAGCCTCCGTTGGGGAAACAAGCCTAATTAGCTTCCCATACTTTTATTCTGCAAAACAGCTCCATTGTTTAGCATTATACCTTTCACCAGAAGTAGAATAATTTGAAGGCATAAATGCATTTTGAGATATAATTTAGCCAAATTCAGCGTTTGAATAGCACGATAGAGCTTGTAAAAACCCAAGCTTAGGATAACAATTGATGTAATTCCGTTATAAAAGACTGGCTGAAAACTGTGCGTTATATTGTATTTAACTCAGGAATTACTCGTCACCTAATTTTGGAACTTTAAGTAAATTTATAGTGATGTAAATTGTAGCTTGTTGAGACTTTTCCGAATCCAAACGAAGTCATAATACTAGGCCAGAATATGTATTGCCGACACGGGGAAGTATTTCGAGGCTATTGAAATGGCTGAGACCATACCACCCAGCGGAAGTACAGTTGCGAAGCCTTAAGCACCAGCAAAACAAAAATACGGAGTCGGACAAATAATCGGAGCAATACGTAGCCCTTCACACCGTTTAAGTTTCATCTCAGCACCCCCCTTGGCCAATATCCCGCATCGGCCATCACAACGTAATCGGTGATGTAAGAAAAAAACCCACCAACCAAACTCGCCTGTTGCCGACTTTGTGTGTAACTGAGACGATGTTCGTCTCCAACGTCACTGATCCTTCTTAGGAATACCACTGGAAATGAAGTCTTGCCTTGTTTGAAAACTGTATTAAGGGAGGGGATAATGTGCTGGCCATCTCGAATGTCCATTGATGGTCGTGAGAACATTGGCCTAAAAGTAGAGTTGTTTAAAAAGGATAGAGTTTTAATAACTTCTGTAGGATAAAGTTTAACGTCTTTTCGTCCTTGTCTAGCTATGCATCTACCTGAAATCTATCCAGGTAGTAGAGAGGTGGAGGAGGTATCGTATGTTCACTTTAATGACATCACCATACGGGTACCGTAGACAGCTCCATAACGAACTTTGCCAGATGGTTCATGGCCAGTGTAGCTTTAGATTTCAATAAAAATTAAGGTGTTTGTCTTTTAGCACCGGGGTTGCTCTCTACACGTCTAGACTTCCCTAAAGACGAAAGAGGACATGATATTAGGAAGGAAATGTATTTCCCAGAGGTCATGCAGCCCAGCGGAGGTGCAAATGCGGAGCTGTAAATGCCCTTGAGATCAAAAAGAAGCATTATGCAAATAATCAAAGGATTGAACAATGCCTACTTAAAAGATTTTTCATCCACTCATCGACCGGCATTGAGTCCTAATTGAAGAACACAACCAGTCTGGTTTAATAGTTTATGTATGAATCTTTAGTCTTGAGACAGTCTTAACGGTGAAGTACCAAGGCTTTTAATCATGTCTTTCTGCATCTTAAAACTTTTCTCTTCTACACATGTAATTTTCGTGGCGATTTCTAGGTTAATTGAGCCATTGATATATTTTTGAGCTATCGAGATGTCCGTTCACATGTGTCAAACGGTATAAACTTGACTTTGTACAAAAGGTGGGTGTGGTAAGTAATAAAAAGTCGGAAATTTAATCTGCCTGAGTCGTTCAAACACTTTCCCTGACGAAGTATTAAGAATAAGTAATTTAGAAGATTTGGTAAAAGCTTCCCGTTCCTCGGTGAATGGCGGACCACTTCCTTTGCCCTGATTGGTTAATGCAGAAAATTAAAATCAGTCCGACTGTTATCCTTGTCCCTGCCTCCACTCGTTGCTGCTATCCGAGTTTTTCCCTAAACCACTGCTTTAAGCTCCCGCAATGTAAAAAAAACATAGATTTTTACGATATCATAATTTGACTGGGAACTTTGTCGAGGAGGAAGCTTGCTCGCATTTATCAGTTCTTAAAGGTGGGCGTCCGAAACAAACCTTCATCGCTAGTAAATCTTTCAAAATTTATCAGCAAAATAGTGCGGAAGTTATAGATATAAAGTAGGTGATTTTCCACCTCTTCACGCTTTTTCAAAGACAATCAACTAGCTTTGAAACGCGGTAGTGTCGATGAATAAGAATTACAATGGTCACGTGTTCATGAGGGACTTGAAGAGCAGTACGGAGCATAAGGCAGTGCCTCTCTCCTTCCCCCTCCACTTCCACGCCTCCTTCTCTCCTATCCCATGGTGAAAACATTTTAATGGCCAAGTTTTGTGGTATGAGGTGAGATGTGATGTGAGCTGTCC